AGGCATCAATTCTAGCCTTGCAAGAATTTGTTTGCATCTCACTGGTTTTCTTCAATGTCAAGGCACTATCCACAGCATCAAGCTAGTCTATTTTAAGAAATGCTTTCAGAAAAGATGTCCTTATCAGGAAAGATTTTTCGATTTAATAGGAAAAAATATATGCACAGTATACAGCACAGATGAACTAAAATTTAATGAAAAATATTCTATTGATATTAAACAAAACTCCCAAACTATTTGTTACATATCCAATACCTCATCGCAGTTCTATAGGATATTTTCATATTGGAAAAGGTTTAGAGGACTGGTTCTGACATCATTTGTTTCCTTAGCTAATCCTGACTACTACCTACACAGAGTAATGGGGAGGGTTGCAGACAGCTATGCATTCTCTGCATAGATCTTTTCAAATTGCATTTCTTTTCTTCCTTTTTGAGCTATTTAATTGCCTAGTTTTCAGGTGCCATATCTTTGTTTCAGGGTCTGCAACTATCCCGTAAAGCAATAATATTCTTCATAAATAGAATGGGAAAAATATATGATATTTCTATGATAATTTCTATTTGAAAAGTTGCACAAGGAACTTCAAGGACTTTGTTTCCATCTAGCTGTTCTAATTCTTTTCTGGGTATGTAAGGTTCTTATATAGCTTGTTCATTCTATATTAGAGCAACTAATATCAGAGATTTGAGTCCTCCTTCTCTTGGCCTCATCTTCATCTGTTCAGGCATGCTGGCTGGCTGCCACTGCTCTGCAGCTGTCTGGGCTCTGTCTCTGTAGCTGAGGCAGTAGCCACACTCTGTAACCTTAGTTTGACCATTACTTGGACTGTGTCTTTTGCTATTGCTTCCTGATTTTATTTTATGGTTAGATTCTAACCTACTCCATAGTATATTAGCTGGAGATCTTCAGATTAACCCAATGCTCTAAAAAACCCTGTGGCGTTGATGTTATGAGAAGCAAAAATCTCTAGGATAGGGGATGAATGACTCCACAGTATAAAGAATCACTACAAAGGAAACAAAAAACTATGTTTAAAGCAAATAATTTTATTCACATGGAACTGTAAGGTAAGTAAGACATTTGGACACAACATTTGGAATAATCTTGTGCATCAATAAATGCAGTGTCAGATTATTTCAGGTTACCAACTCGAATAACCCTGTTAATATCCTAAATGTATTGAATAAGCCTGAGAGATCCAAGATGTACATTGACACACATTTTTAGAACATGAGCACATGAAGATAGCCAAGATTGCTTTACCTGGCCAATAGCTTCAGGTACTGTTGTATGAAGTGCATGAGTCACAGCAAACGACAAGCCAAGATCCAACAATTTTACAGAATCCTGGTTTGTCTTTGGGAGAAACCCAGGAAAGTTCTTTTCACTATTTTTGTCAGGAACGTAGTGATATAAAGATATATTTTTAAATGTATTTTTCCAGTTTCTGGGGATTTCATCCTGTAGAGAACTGCAAGACAGAAACTGACAGTACATTTCACATGATGCCATAACTTTTGTCTGTGTTCAAATAGAGTTTAGAGAATAACCCAGTTCCCTCTGAAACATCTGCAAAGTAGTTCATCAGCAGACAAGGCACCAAGAAGGGTCCACAGATTGCATTGACCCTTGTCTAGAACAAGAGTTTACACATATAATGTACACATGAGCCCTTCTATATCGATGCCTAAGATGTCTCAATCTGCACCTAAGTCTCACCCTAGACCACAATAAATTGTTGCACAATTCAAGCTATTTGATAAGAAGTAGATATTTGAATACCAATCCAGTATCAGACTTGTGCATCCAAAGACATTACTGACAATGAGACAATGACTGACGAAAAAATGTACATCGTAAAAAAGAAACTATTATTACTGATTTTGTGGAATAAACAAAACAAAACAGTGCGATCCTGGGGCACCAGCAGAAGTTACATCAGGTCTTATTGTTAAAGAAAAAGAAAGTCACCAAAAAGTAAGAGGACATATGTGAATACCTGCAAACACATTGCCATTGCCATTGCCATTTGTTGGGAAAACAGTGTTTGTTATCAATCTGAGACCCTCCCCGAATGGAAAGTTGTTAAATAAATATTGTGGTTTTTCTTCTTCAAAAGTCTCCTGGTGTTGATTGTGTGTTAGGAGAAGAATTTGTTTGGTAAGTGTCCCCTAAAATGTAGACACACATTTTTGACCTGATCAGTCAAGAAAGTAAATACATTATATACTGATGATTTTTACAGTTTTGAAGCATACCAAGCACTAGTATTCCAACCATACTTCTATTTCTAAAGTTTTACCCACTCTGTAAAAATGTGATTATCCCAGAAGTGAGTTGCAAAGTAAACCAAGATTATAATAATAAGACATAACGCCATGAAGTGAAAGCTCTTCATGCATGATTTTGACCATATATTCTAGTGCTTTCATCAGAATGAATAACAAGTGAAGTGTTGAAGATTAGTTCGATGTACTCATGGTATTCAAGAAATTCATTATATTCTGTGAACCTCCTCAGGAGTTGGACTGTCATGTTACCTTGAGTGCAGACTATAATCCCATCAGAGTATGCTCACTGATGCTTAACATTTCTGCAAACCTATCTACGCTCAAGGGCTTTATTCAGAGTATTATAGCTGCAGGAGGGTTCACAGGTAGTTCCATATGGCAGCCAGCTCTCAAACAAGCAGGGGTTTAAGTGCCTTCATGATGAAATTCAGAACCCTTTAGGGGGAATAGTTTTCCTTTTTCCTGATGGTAGAGCAAAGAGCTTTGGAAACACTCAGGCATGATGTTTGTCTGAAGAGTTAATCTAAGTCATGTGCCTACATAAAACAGACACCTTCATCCCCCGAGATTTAGAGTGCTGACTTGATATTTGAGCACAACCAGATAATGAAGGATCTCTCCCTTCATGCACAATTAGCAAACTTGACCACAAATAGTTCCTCTGTTCAGACCTCCTACAGTAGAGCCTAATTTCAGTTATATACTGTGAGCCTGAGCTGAACTATTTATTCTGCACTTTTCTTGTTGAATCTGGATCACAGCATAGAAAAAGACTGAAATACTCAAAGGATTCATAAGAGATAGAAAAAAGTAAAATATATCTGTTTCTTCCTAATTATAAAGATGCTTCCCTCTGAGTGATGCTTTCTTACTTCTGACTCTGCATATTATTCTAAGTATTATTTGCAGCGTTTACAACTGCATGTTGCCAACATCTTTTTAGATTATAATTATTGCTATATTACATTCTTATATAATAAACAGGCAGATTTTGGAATTTTATCTAAAAAGCAACTTTTTGGCATTTCATCTTCTTTTAAAAGGAAATAAAAATAAATAAGTCAGAGTGACAATTCTCCTGTTACTTAAGAAGTTTTGTAATCTAATGAAGTTAGGTATGTGTTACAACACAATGATAATTTACAATTATCTAAACTGAGAAACTGATATAAAAAAGGGCTCTAGACTGACCAAAGTCTATCACTAGGATTATAATGGAAAGATGAATCAGGCCTCAAAACAGCAAATGGTAATTTAAAATTTTTCATGCATTTGTAAACTTTAAAGCTTTGCCATTTTTTTTGTTTTAGCAGTCATAAAATGAGATAGGAAAGGAAACCATCCTCAACAGTCAATAAATAGAAGCGGAATTGACATATGCGCACAACTAATTCATGTCCAGCACCATAGTAAAACAGATATTAGAACAATATCTAAAAAATAAAAACAGCAGTTATTTTTTAAGATTTACAGAGACTGTTCAAATGAATTACATTATTTCTGCAGCCAGCAACATGGATACATGCAAATTTTTTGTTAAAGGATTTCGAGAATTTAATATATTGCTTTCCTAGCTACTGTAGTGTAACAACTGATGCTGTAACTACCACTGTAATTGTAGCAAATAATACAGTAAAAAGGTTTGATGACACAAAACACAAAAGCATGTGTTTTGCTCTATGCTCTTTCAGTGCAAAAGCACAGAATTTTTTAGACAGAATTTTTGGAGACAGATTTTTAAAAGCATCTTTCAAAGTAAATTGAGCAGCAAAAGTCTTCCCCTTTTTCTTTTTTGGGTTTTTTTTTTGGTTTTTTTTGTTTTGTTGGTCGTTTGGGGTTTTTTTTTTGTTTTGTTTTGTTCACCTCCACAAGAATTAATATTACACTGGCAGCAGTTATTTCCTGTGATCCACCTGAGGGGTTTAACAAAATAGACAGATGTCAGTGGTACAACTCAAGCACTTCTCTGATGGAAAGATGCCACTTTCTTTTTTGAAAAGGCCAAAAACTTATTTTCTGTGCCCACTGTCACAAAAATATCTCATGTTCTTTCCCTACAATCAATATAGTTCTATAAGAGATCAGAACCTAGCAAGAGGAGTTACCAAATGGTATCAGTTTCCTTGCATGGTCATGCAAGATTTCACACTTTCTGTAGTCAGAAATTTGAGAATCATAAGAGTGACTTGAACAGAAAGACTCTTTAGGATTCTTTTAAAATGCAGCTACTAAGATCAACACATTCTTTCACACATAGACATTGGCACTTCCCCTCCATTCTTTGTGCTCATGGTAAATAAAACAAAGATAGTTCCATTATCTTAATATAACTATAAATTTCACAAAAAAAGAAGTAACTTGCCCCACAGACAACCGTGGTCAGCATGGCAGGAATACTACCAGTTGCACAGCAGTATAAATAAGGTAGCACCGAGGGTAAAAAGTGTGTGCAACTAGTTTTCTATTTTGGCAACTGTAATTTAACAGAGGGCCATGTTGCTCCCGGGATTTTGGTCACCTGTCTTACAGCACTATAATCCTTTTTTGCTCTATTGCAATAATGATTTGTATAACTGAATATGCCAAACTGCCTTTCCAACAACAACTTCAATACTACCTCAGAACTGACAGGCATGAACTGCTGCTGCATTTTCAGTGTTATTAGGCAAAGCACTGATCTGGGAGTTGAGTTCCTCTGTGACCTACCTGAGCTGTTACCTCACTTCTAGAAGAGAGGCTTATTATCTTTCCCAGGTTTCCAGATGGCTTTTCAATTATCTATTTATCTTGTGCAGTTCTAGTGACTAACTGCTTCAGCTGATAACTGCCAGCTGCCTCAAATTCTCTGTGATGCCTGATAGAGATCTTTCACAGTCGCGTCTGTTCCTGTAGTTACAATGTGCTGTGTTCTGTGTCACCGTGAGCTGCAAAAGAAAACAATTTGGTTGGGCCATGGTTGATGGTTACAGAGAAAACTAACCTCAATGGAAAGACACGCTCTGGCTACATACTATCATAGAATTCTATGTTCTAGTCATATTTATATGAATTTTATCACAAAACTTGAAGTACATGTATCTCTTTCACTAACAGGACTAGGATTAAGTGTTTTGCTAGTGACATAAATGTTATGCTGTGTGTATGAATGAATGTGGAGTGAGACACAGGCTGACAACTACTAGCAGTTGATATAAAGCTTACAGAAGATGGCCTAGATGATTTGCCAGTATAATACTTGTGTTGTTATCCTGCGTATCACTTGGAGATGACACGAATACACACCACACCAGCCTGATTATGGACATGAGAGAAGTTTGAGATGTGTATTGATGGAACCAAAATCAGTGCAGAAAAAATAGAACATAATCAGAATGCAATCTGACGTAGGCCAGAACAACACATGATCGTAAACATGCACCCTTTAGATTCAGACTCTGAGACAAGAAGACATAACTTGTAATGTAGCAGAGAAGTTCTAAGCTTAGAAGAGACCTGTAAAAATTCTGGATTCAGCTAAAACTGTTTGACAAGTGGCATGTGGGGAAAAGGGACTACTCCAGTAGGGGACTTACCCAAACAGTTAGTGGAGAAACTTACAAAAAGTACCATCAGGTATTCAACATTTGTAGCATTTTCTTTTTCTCTAGTGAAAAAATAACATTTAAAAGTCTTTAATGTTATTATCACTAAAAAACCTCAATCTGTTACAACAAAAACAGGATAGTGTTTAACATGCAACCTCACAAAAATCTATCAACTGGACACAAAATTAACAACCAGAGAGGTGACTCTTGTCGTACATTTATTAGTTGATTAAAATTCTCCTTAACAGTTGATTTAATTTCTTCTTAAGAATTAGTTCACTGAAAAATACAGAATGCCACACTCCCATACACAGACATATGCACATGCACAGAGAAATCTGAACCGTTAGTAGCTTCTTAAAATTCACTCAGAAATTATTAATTACTATCACTCATTAAATATTTTTAGTTTGAATAATACACTTCCTACAGCAAAGGCGCACCAAGACTGGAAAGATGCAGAATGCCAACAGAGATTTTCAATCTACAGCTGAGAACCAAACCACTTCAGTGCCTTCACTCTACACACACTCACAGAGGAGTCTATTCACTTAAAAACATGATATCACTGCAATCAAAGTCCAAGTAAAAAAAATTAATTATTGCATCAACTTCTAGTCTGAAGGTTCATGGTAATTTTTGTGCCTTTAAGCAGGCTGGAGGCACATAGCATGCTGCATCTGAACTTGTGCCAACTGTAGGCCAGAATCCTACCCTGTTACACCTGCAGCTAGCTTATGTTCTGACTCTGCCTTGCACTCGAAAACACCAAATGCAATGAAGCACACAGCAACACTGAGTCAATTAAGATCACCTTTCCTACAGAGAGTGGTCTGAAAAGAGGTATTGAAAGAAGCTGCATGAGGCACATAGGTATATACAGATGATGTTTATGGCTGTAATGGTTAACATATGGTAATACAATCTGCTATATCCATGTAGATGTTATTATATGCAGTATAATATAAATACAAATTTATTTACAAGCACAGAATACATCAACTTGCACTGTTTGTAGCACTGTTACATAGAGCATGCAGCATGTGCTATGTACTACTGCAAATACTGTCCGTGTGATATACCTTACGACATATAAGTGTAATATTATAAATTTTACACTGTGTAAATTTGTGTGTAATATTTAGCATAAATTTATAAATTAAAAATATATATTTGTATCTATATAAATATATATTTATTTTAGTTGGGCATATCAATGGAGGAAATAGAAGTATGCAATGAAAACCAGGTATGATTTCTATCTTCCTGTATTTATTTTTCAGCTCTCTTTGAAAATTACTTTCCTAAAACTATATAAAACATCATGCAAGCTTTACTGTTTCTCTGTAAAGGGCATTGTAGACATGCTTTGCATTTTACAGGAATGTCTGAGGCCCTATATGGCCTACAATTTTCTTCAGGGCATAAAAAATGTTTGAATATGGAAGACAGCTTTAGACTGCTGTAATACCAAGAATACATCTTTGATTTCATCACTGGAAGCTTTTTTAACAAAAGATTTTACATCCAATTTCATCCTAATTTCAACATTTTTTTACCCTGTAGCTGTGGACCTGCCTGGAAGAGTTTGACCATGGCCATCAGTACCCAAGCTTTCTTTGCTTGCATGCCCAAGAGTCCTGGCTTAGTGCCTGCTCTCCCTCCAACAGGCTTAGAGGGCCCCTCGTGGGTCCTTGGCCTTCCAAAGCCCTTAGTGCATCCTGCTGCCAGGACAGACAGAGTGACTGTGAGCGGGCTGGGCACAGGCTCCTTCGACACACTTGCACAAGAGATGGCTGGTGTTGCTACCTAAATAACGCAACTGTGACTTCTACTTGCTGCCCTGGCAGTCACCGTGTTTGCTCCTAAAAATGCCCCTGGACTCAGATACATAAATCAAGTTCTACTTAGCTTATGCAATGTCACAAATTGACTCCACGCTGCTCAGTTTGTTTCAGGAAGAACAGTGTTTGCCCTCTCTACCAGTGAACTACTTACTGTTCCTTATGAGTACAGTGCCAGAAGCTGCCCAGAGACTGTAGAGAGCTGGCTGCTTTACAGACATGTGACAAAGTATTCCCTCCTGAATCTGAAAAACTTGGCCTGGAAATGGACGATACATAAATAATAACAATAACATCCTAAAGAATGAAGGTATGCTTAAATGTTACATTACTGAGACTTCCAGGTCTGCGTCTTCTGATTTAATGGTTACAGTTTAAAACATAGAAAAGTTTGAAACACTTCTCACATAAAAGCAAATCAATTATTAAGATAAGGAGACAAAGAAACCTGTTTTTTATTAATTTGTGATTCAGACAGCAGTTGTCTGTGGATGGATTCTTTCATGTAATTACCATTCATGATGCTGGTTTTTTGAAGGGTGATATGCTCTTTTCCACATTATTTTTCAAAACTTTTTGTTAATTGTGGTTGATTCTAGCTAAAAGATTCAAATGTTACTAATGGAAAATAAACAGACAAAAATAAACTGCACAAGTTCAAGTCTTTCCTTCCTTTACTAGCAGCTCAGGAAACTACATTACTCCCAACTACAGCCCATGAACTGCCTGTCCATGCACAGGCAGTCTCAGTTCCTAACACGCCTGTAATGATCCTGATCATAAAGCTCTAACTAAGTGCACAAAGTGCTTGACATCAAGTGGATTTTTTTTTCAATAAGATATTAACTTTTTTTGTACATTTCACAACACAATGTCAACAACTATAATTATTCTCCTCACAGTACTTAAGTACTGCACTTAATGTGCAACCTTTAAACGAGAATAGGCATTAAGGTAAAGGTTTTAATTATGCGATTATATGATTATGTTTATTTCCTTACAGGTTTTTAGCCTTAAGGACAGGATTTCTGGATAATTTAGCGGTCACTTTCATAAATATGCTTATCATACGTACAAAACACTTCTCATAACTTTTTTTTTCTTAAGGAGACAAAAAGACGGCAAATGCTGAGGTGACCAAGATTTTCATCAGCAACTCGATGCTGACAAGCCCAATTTCAGTTCCCGTTTCAGAAGGCGAAGGTCCTGCGTTGAGCACAAAACGAATTCGGTTAATTTACTTTTTATTTTCCCCCTAGCACGAGGAAACTGATACAGCCTGTTTTAGACTTTCGGTGGACCAGAGAGGGCAAACTGCCTTTAGTGAGAAATACTTGGCAGCCTCAGTGCTCAAGAGGAGGCGATCGGGGTGGGACGGGGGGGATGGACACGTTTCTCGTTGCCAGAAGCGAGGTGCCCTCCCGTACCCCGGCTGCAGCTCCGTGCGAGAGGCTCCGGGTGCGGCGGGGCGGGCAGGAGGGCGGGGAGCGCTCACGGCTGCCCCAGGGACACAGGGCCCGGCGCTGCCCGCCCGCTCCAGCCCGGTCCATTCCGTGCTGTCCCACCTCCCGCGCTGGCGCCGTCTCCATCCCCTTCTCCCCGGGCCGGGCGCCGCGCCCCCGCCAGCCCCGCGGAGCCGGGTTGGGCAGCCCGGGAGGCGTCTCCGCCGCAGCCCCCGCCCCCCCGCGCCGGTGCCGAACGCCTCGGCCGCTCCCCGGCAGCACCCCCGGGACAGCAGCACCCGCGCCTCCCTCCCTGCCGCCCGGCCCGGGCTCTCCCGCCGCTACTCCGCCGCAGAGGACACCTCATGGAAAATAAATAAATTAATTCCCCCACTCGCCCCCGCGGCCGGGAGACGAGCCGGCGGCGGCCGCGGGATTAGATCCAGTCCGAGCTAGAGACCAGGTAATGTAACCTACCCGCCAGGAGGGAGGAGGAGGACGAGCAGCGAGGTCGCTGAGGTTGTCCCCACCGGGGAGGGCTCCGGGGGACGGAGAAGCGGCTGCCGCAGCCGGGGTGCGCCGGCGTGGCCCCCGCGGGCTGCGTGCGAGCGGCTGCCCCCGCGCTGAGCGCGCCTCACTGTCAGTCACACACACACACCAGCCGCCGCCCACTCAGGGAGGGATGGATGGATGGATGGATGGATGGATGGATGGATGGACGGACGGAAGGACCCCGCGTGGGACGCAGCTGTCCCCCCAGTACCAGAGCAGGCACCGCAGGGAGACGCCGCAAGCCCCGCCGTGCCCCGCTGCCACGCGGGCGGGCGGGCGGCTCTGACAGCGGGGCAGGGAGGGAGGCGGGCGGCGGGGCCGGGCTGAGGCCGCGGCTCTGGGGGGAGCGAGGCGCGATCCCGCCCCCGCGCCGCTGCGCGCATCCCCGCGGGGCGCCGAGCCCGCCAGCGCCCACCCGAGCGGAGCCGCCGAGCGCGGCCCCCGCCCCGGCCACCCCCGGGAAATGTGGGCGGAGAGCGGCGGAGCGCGGACCGTGCCGCCGCGCTTGCCGTCATCTGACACGGGCCTGCAAGGAGCGCTGAGCGAGGTGACCTTGGAGAAGGTGGATCTGGATGGAGCCACTATTGCTCCGTGCCAGCTGCTGCTCCGTGCTCTGGGCTGCTCCGAGTTCCGTGGCTCTTGCGTTGTTATCTCGAAACGCTGTTGGCTTTAGTTAATGGTTGTGTACAGAGGTTCTGGTATGAGTATTACCAGAGCCACGAAAATAGCCTCCATAATTCTCTTTACTTGACCTCTGCTAGCACACAGTCCTTGAAGGGAATGTTCTGAAGAGTCTCCCTGGCAGGGAGCAATTGTTCGGCGTTCATCTTTGTCGAAGTGACCCCTAAAGAGCAGTAAGTCATAGGAGAGTCTGAGAACTTGCCCTGTTCATGTTTCAGACACCAGTGTCCCCTTCTACTTCTGTGAAAACACATTACCTTTCAGTCCTGCAGGGTCACAGAACTGACACAAATTCTCCACTGCTTTTCCAGTGAGGTCAATAGGAAAACAAAACAAAGCAGAGAAACGTTTGCGATACCTGGATTTTCCAGTGCCAGCCTGAGCTTTCAGTAAAGGCGTCTTACTGAAATTGCTGTGGAAAGGTGTTTTGGTAAAAAGAGAGAAGCTAAAGAAAGCTGGTACCTCCTGAAGATGTCCATTCTAATTTTGTTGGTCTCCATAATAATTGCTCATGTTTCCATAGTGGTTCCCATCTGTGGTTCTCAAGTTACTGATCAAATAGTAATGAAAAGGTGTTTGTGGCTTGCAGTGTAGGAATGGGGCCATGAACTTAGTCACACACCAACTGAGCCAACAACTCAAGAGTTTAGCTCTGTCTAGATGAATCATGACAGAAAAGTTAGTCATTGAGACAGAGGGATGTACACTTATATTTAAAAGAAGGAGGAAACTGACAAATAATTCAATAAAAGTGAGATGTGCTTTTATGTACAAATAGTAAATATGGGAATAATGCAAAAGTGATTCCCTTTTTATTTTTAAATCAGCTCTCTTCTCTCTCCTTGCATTATTGTCTGCTAACTTTGAATAGTGTACTTGAGCCTGAGTGCTGAACTCCTTCTACATGATGGAAACCATTCAGAGAAGAGATTATACTTGAGATGTTTGTTATTATTTGTGCAATTCATTACAGAGCTGTAACTTCACATGTCTGCAAGGGCCCAGCTAGCTTAGTTTGCAGCATAGTGGTTACAATGTAAGTGGCTTCAAAGCAAAGCAGCTGATCATTTTGATTAGGCAGAGAGGTGGCTGGAGGTTATGGTTTTTATTTTATTGCAGCTTTAAATAATTTTGGTAGCAAAGAAAACCTGATTTTATTTATATTATGGAGATGTAGAATAGCCTAAATACATACTGTGGTCTTCATGGTCTTCATTTGGTGGAAAACCAAATTCATGTGTTTTCCAGATAGGAAAACTCTTTGGATTGTGTCATGATACACTGATCTGAACAGGTATTTTGCATGTAAAGGGGGAGACTTTAAAATATTACAAAGGGCAATATCAAAAAGAAACCAGAGTGTAGTTAAATATTGTGACGCTGCAGCTGCAGTAAGGAGTGAAGGAATTCTTTTTCAACAATTTTCATTGTAAATAAATGCAGTGTTATAGTATATTTAAAAAGCTTCCTTCCAGCTCTTTAACCTAATTTCATCTGTCATTTCTCTGTAGTGTATAATGTATTTAAGCTCACTCAGCTCTTCTATGGCAGAATTCTTATTCTAAAATCCAAGTTTTATCAGGGCAGGAGATCTTTGGGCAGCCTAAATTTATGGACAGGCAAGTTAAAGGAGAGAAAAAAACATTTCTTGAATCACGAGCTATTGTTTTTTAAAATGTTTTTCTTTCATTACTCTTCTTTCTTGGATGTGGTTCACTACATCGTACTTCTATTTCTTGATTTTTTTTCCCCCCTGGCACTTAGTGCTTTTCTTTTTTCTTAATTTAAAAAAAAGGTCCTCGCTTGTATCCTTTGTTTCTCAAGTAAATTATCTTGTCCTCTTTTTGCAATGAGGAGGTGGCTTTATTTCCAGTAAATATGGTTATTATTGGACCCATTTTATTTCAAGAAAAGAGGCTATGACTTACCTGATTTTATTTCGCATTGCAGAATCACATGATACTTTTGAAGAGTTGCATTTTGCTTGAGGACAAGTTTGCTTTAGCAATAATAGTGCCTGAATATAATTTTCAATTAAATTGTATCCCTTAACACCATTTGCCAGAATTTAAGCTGTCAATTTTCCGGTGTGGGAATCAAGAAGAAGGTTCTTGGGCCATGTTAATAATCTGTGTTGTAAAATGAATTTTATGTTTCAAGGTTGGTGTAATTGCAAAAAATGTAATTATCTTTTGAGTGTTATTAAAATTTTTAGGTCATAGCTCTAAATCATTGATAAGAAGGTTAGCAGTTTCTATGTCTGTTTGTGTAATATATATATGGCATAATGTTTGCACAGCACCAAGGAGGAGGTTAGATAGGAAAATATGATGTCATTGACCAACTGTTTTGTGTGTCAAATGAACACGAGGAACTGGCAGAGTCCCACATACACATCTCAGTCCAGACCTGCATTCCTTGACTTGCATGTATTTGTGATCTGTTGGGCCAACTTCTCTAATTTTATTGTGCATCTTGGAACATTTGGAAAAAAGTTTGCAGTATTCAAACAAAAGGAATTTGTCTACAGGAGTAAGAGGATAATATTCTGTGGCTTAAAGATGTTGGACAAACTGACTGTGCAGCTCTATTTGGCTTTACAGTCTATTCAATATCTTTTTATTTTTCTTGGTCTTATGATCAAGCAATCAAAATCTTCTTAAACTCTTATTGAAGAGCAAAGGGTTATCTAACTAGGTCACAGTGGCTGATGAACTAGAAAGAGTCACAGTCTTTATTGCTTGATTTTTATCTTTGCAATCTTAAGATTTTTAATTCACAGTAGTTTTGGGGGGTGGGGGGGTGGTGATGGTGATGAGGCAGATTCGTTATCATTAGATCCTTTTGTTGATCTTAGTTTTGGTTTATGTGTTGTCTTTAAATAGTTCCTTTATTTATACGTTTTCAAGGTCAAGCTTCCAGTTCCATGCTAATACTTTTTATTTTTGGGACACAGTGCTCTTCTGTCTTATGACTTATATGAGTAGCTTGATATAAATGAAGAGGTTTCCATAAAGAGCTGATAAAAACGAATAAGCGTTTCCAAAAGGATATGAACATGACTAGGCCACTTTAGAAGGTTCCCAAAAGTGAAGGAGGAAATTAATGGAAAAGAATTGAGCCTTATCACCATATACTCTTTTCCTTTGTAGTTGTAAGACTTAAGATCTTAAGAAATGAAATTAATTTTAATTCATAAAGGTAGGGAGCCCTAGAGAACAAACTTAAGACAGGTTTTTGGGTTTTTTTTTGTTTTTTTTTTTAAATTAGTGCTGATGCATTTTCTTTCAACTTGGTTTCATGATTATTGAATGTTAGCTATTGATTGTATTTCAGTCCCACCCAACAAGAAAGCAGTGCTTTGAATAATGGTGTAAATCATATAAAATTTGCTATGAATTTTATACTGTAGGAAACTTGTACTTTTAGGTCACCTTTCAACAAACCACAGGACGTCCAAATATTGTAGAAGCTGGAATATTTGAGAATATGTGGATTTGACATCGTTTTCTTATGATTACTATGAAAGACAAAGACAATATGAAACTCTGCAAAAAACAGTAAAAAAGTCAAAGCATAAAACTGTGCAGATTGGAGTTGCCCAAACATGCAAGGTTGTTTAAAAAGTGTTTATTGTCTTTCAGCATGAATGTTTGTATCCCCCCCAAAAAAACACTTTCCAATTGTTTTGACTGCAAGCTTGGTAGTTATTTCGCTTTTATCTTTCTTTGAGGTTTTCCAGTGGAAGACTCGTGTAGGTGATAATCAAGGTTCAGAAAGCGTGTTGCACAG